ACAAAACCTCTTAAACAAGGAAACATGAAAAGAAGAAAAGAATATAAATATAAATGAACAGAACTGAGTCATGAGAGAAGAAAAGAGAAGAACAAGATTCAAGTTCAGGAAACATAACTCAATTCAGTTTTTAGTTTTGTAAATAGAAATCTAAGACCCTTTTTTCAAGGTCTTACTGACTAGCTTGGTATAGCTTTGGACCAGGAATAATTACTTGACCTGTGCTTCTAGGCACTCACAGAAGTAACCAGAAGATGTTGAACCAAAATTTAAGCCAACTTTATACAACATGTATACAAGAATCTTAATAAAGATGATTAGCAAGGTTGCCTAAGTTATAAAAAAAAAATAAATAAAAAAAAATAAAAATATCAATTAAATAAATTTTATTCTATTTATTGACCAAATAATTTATAAAATTAACATTTGATCTATTTTATAAATCAAATATAACATATTATTAATTATATACTAAACATTTAAATCTAAGTAAGTTTTGATTACTTTAGTAGGTTTAAGTTATATATATATTAATCTAAAATTTTATTATATGTAATTTTCAATTTATTTGTTTTGTACAAATAGTAATAGTTGTATAATTAGCAATCTAATGGTTAACCTTAAGTGTAAGTGTTAGTTTTAACTTTAATATATATATGTAACAATTTAAATTACTAATAAAAATATAAGCAAGACCTCACCTTAATACCAAAACAAAATTTTATTTTTGAAAAAAAAAGTATAAAGAAAAAAGAAATATTATTAATAAAAAAAGATATAATTTGTAATTTTAAAAATTTATGTGTACATAAAGAATAATAAAAAGAGTAATTTGCTTAGTTACACAACAAAGTTACTTTAGTAAATTTTAAAATATTATAACAAGTTTAAACTAGTGTTAAATTTAGGCTGAGTAGAATTGGAGTTAGGGTTAGTAAAATACGATAAGAATATTTTTGCTCAGTTTTACAATAGGGATTACTCTAGTAAAATTTTGAGTTATCATTGAAAGAGGCACAAAGTGCACGGCGCACTGACTAGTCCTGTCCTATATTATATACATATAATGTTTTTAAAGCTTTTAACTATATAATATATTAAATAACAAATATGTAATAATATTAACAGAGCATTGACAACGACATAACATTGTTACATGCACTTAATTGTAATAGTAGACAAATAATCCATAATACATCAAGTACAATGCTCTTTACGCTTCAACAATCTATAAAAATGATAAATTGCAAGATGTACTCAATTTTAAAATAATAAAACCTTACATTAATATCAAATTTGGACATATACGATATGCTAAAAATTTGTTATAAAATGCAGAAAGTGATTTCATATGAGCTAACGTTATTTATAGAGATTACAATTTAAATTAGCTACATGATTTACAATCACGTTTACATTTGACATTAGTACAATATTTTAATATTTGGATTATTAGACTCTATGAAATTAATATGGTTATAACGAATATCCAAAATTTTCAGAGTGTTGTTTTTGCAAAGTGCAATTGCTAACGCTTTTCCTCCCTCTGGTCCAAGATTATTCCAAGAAAGGTCCAAAGAAGACAGCATGGTATTCTTACAAAGTGCATCAGCTAATGCTTTTCCTCCTTTTAAGCCAAGACTATTACGATAAAGATTCAAAGAAGTCAACGTGATGTTCTTGCAAAGTGCATCTGCTAATGCTCTTCCTCCTTCTGATCCAAGGTTATTATAGCTAAGATCCAAAGAAGTCAGGGTCGTATTATTGCAAAGTACATCTGCTAATGCTTTTCCTCCTTCTGATCCAAGACTATTACTCCAGAGATTCAAAGAAGTTAGTGTGGAGTTCTTGCAAAGTGCATCTGCTAATGCTCTTCCTCCTTTTGATCCAAGATTATTAAAACTAAGATCTAAAGATGTTAGCGTGGTGTTCTTGCAAAGTGCATCTGCTAATACGTTTTTCTCTTCTAGTCCAAGATCATTATGTTGGAAATTCAAAGAAGACAGCGTCGTATTCTTGCAAAGCGCGCTTAACACTATTTTATTAATAGTATTGTTAAGTTTTAAATATTTAAGATTTTTGCTTGCTCGCAAAAACATCGCAACTAAAGAGCATTTGATAGCATTTGCTAGTTTATCTTTTTTGAAATAATTTACATTATATCCTTCATTTTTAAGCCAATTTTTGATTCCTTTATCCATAAAAGAGCCAACAGATGTTGTATAACTTTCGTACTCAAATAATGGTCTTGGATAATTTGGAAGAAAAATGTTTAAGGGGTTCAATGGAGCTTGCTCTTCAGCATTTAATGCTAAAAGATATATTCTTATAAGTCTTTTATCACTGGAATAATTTGACGGTTCACACCATAATATTGGTATAATAATTCTACACCATAGACGGTTTACTAGAAGGCACGAAAATAAGGTTTTAAAATCAGTCCGAAAATTGTTAAATATTTCAAATAGACATTCGTTTGGCAACATCATCTTGAAAGAATTATGAAAAATTTTAAATATTTAAATAATTCATTCGTTCAGTAACATTAAAAAAATAACTGAATTTAGTATAACGGTAAAAACTGGATTTGCCTCCGGTATATATGTTGTGCAGCTAAAGCATATCACATGACTACCAGATGACAAGCGTTAAATGATCTGCAATAATTGGCTGTAAGTTCACCGGATATAACCAATGTGGAACGTTGTATCTAAGGGGAGTTCTACGTAATTGGGTATGTGTCTCCGATTGGACTAGCTGATTACGTCACTCAAAATTTCATGTAGCGCAAAAGAAGCTTAAAATTTTGCCTATGAAAGTGTCTTCTACCTATGGACGGGTTCGGTTACGTTATAGCCGTTCATGACCAGTTATTAACCGTAACCGATACTAACAGGTTGACCGATGCTATATTTTTAATGACTAGTTATAAAAATAATGAATACTTTAATTATTGTTTAATTAGACATGAAATATGTGTACAAGAACTTTCTTATTATTAATCTTCTAATTTTCATTTTGATATGAATCTAACACATGACATTCACTATCACTCAAAAATACGTGGAAAATTCACAATTTTGATTTGCTAATAGCAACGATCAAAACTTAAGGCCAAAGTTATGCAAAATTTTAACGCCTGCATTTTACTAATGAAATCACAGCCTTACACTAAGTGAAAAATATTTCTGGATTAATTTTACCGTTAAACAGATTAAAATCTTAAGAAATTTTATTGGGGAGTTAAAATAATTAAAAAATTAATTCTAGGAGTTAAAATAGTTAAAAAATTAATTCTGGAAGTTAAAATAATTAAAATTTAATTCTGGACCAAATTATGTATAACTAGAAATGGGACACTGCGCAGGTATTTTTTGAGGTTGCGCGGTGCGATTTTCATAATTCTGGCCAGCTGGCATAATTTTAGCCAGCTCTATAATCCAAGTTTGAATTACCAATCGGAAATCGGTTCGAATCGGTCGGATCTGCATCACTTGATTAATAGAATCCATCGTTCATAATTCTGGTCAAACATGCAGATCATTTGACCACGATTTGTTCTAGATCTGGCCAAATGATCTGCAAATTTGACCAGAATTATTAATTCACCGATATGCAGAGAAAAAGTGAAAAAAAACGCAAAAAAACAAAAACTGACGTTTAAACTAGCCTAATTAAAATGATGAGAGCCCAAGTTTACACATATGAAGTAGATGTTTTATATATAAACGTGAAACCTAATGAGCAAAAGTCTCTAAGGACTGAGGCTGTGCAGGCTTTGCAGGCTTTGCAGGCTGCGCAAGCTGCGCAAGCTGCGCAGTAGATTCAAAAAGACCTCGATTTTCCCATCTCTATGTATAACTCTAAAGTTGTTTAGCAGGTCATTCCGGTTCTAATCGTGATTATAATATTAAAAATTGATTAGCCTACTGAACAAGTTTACTTAGAGCGTTATTGTGAAATTTCTTAGTAATTTTAAGAACAAAACACCCTTTAAAATATGAAGCAAAATTTTATATTAATCGAAAATTTTTCTAAGATATAATTAATAATTGATCAGTTATTAACCGCTATTGACCAGTTATTTGAGCATATGACTGACCGAACCCATCCCTATTTCTGCGTACTAAAAAAAGTTCCTCATGAAATTTTACTATAACTGCAACCCTCTAAACCAAACCTTAACTTCTTGGTAGGTCCGAACTTTAATCCAACAGTGAAAAAAAAATTATTTTGATCAATCATGCATAAATTCTGGAAAATCTGGCAAAAATTTCCGGTTGGATGTTTATCGATTCGATAAACTTTTGATTCGGATGTGACTACGTCCGAATCAAAAGATTATTACTGCCGAATCAAAACTTATCGAATCGACAAATATTCAGTCGATCAATTTTTACCAGATTTTCCAGAATTTATGAAAACAGCTGTAATAACCGGGCAGGTTTTTTAAAAAAAAATTTATATATGAAATTTATTTTTTAAAAAAAAAAACCAAAAAGCCGGTCGACCGGGTCTGTTTAAAAATTTTATGTTATGAAAACCAAGAAAATAAAGTTGTATAGCCTAATTAGTTTTTTAATAAATTGTTATTGTAAGTTGCATGCAAATTATTCCGACAATAATGTCACAATTCATTATCGGCAACAATGTTGGTATCCGAAAAATTTAGACCCCAATACATCATAACTACACTTTTTTAACGATCAATTTATCAAGAATATAAATAATTTGATGCGTACCTTTTTTGATTACACACATAGGATCAAGGAGTAATTTCATTATATGGGGAAGTCTATGTTATTTGCGATACATGGTTGAATTTGCTGGTTTAACTATTTTATTTTAATTAAAGAAGTTTGTCTTCATGTTTTAAAATGTTGGCAGTCACAATATTAAGCTTTTACATTTTAAATTATTATTGGACAGCATCAACATAGGCTTTCGCTTTCTCTAAAATTGTTTCGGATGGATAATATAATTAGTCCTTTTTTAAAATCTTATTTAATAGTGTTCGTATTATTAAGTTTTTGCTTTCTTAAATTCTTATTAGACAGACGTAAAGTTCTTATTGGATCAAACATTATTGGATCTTTGCATTCTTTAAAATTCCTCACATTTTTAGATTTTACTTTAAAATTATTGTTGGTAGTATTAAGCTTTTTGTCATTAAGTTTGTTTTCTTTAAATTTTTAATAGTTTGAGTTATATTAGTTTGTTTTTACTTTCTTTATAAATTTTCGCTGAAAGAATGATTATATTATTAATTTCTACTTGCCTTAAAACTTTTGAATAAGTTTATATATAATTAAGTTTAGTTCTTTGCATTTTTTAAAAAACTCTTATTGAATGAGATCATTGACGCATTAGGGCTTTGTTTGAACGTTGATACAATTATGTAATATTTGCAAGAATGAAAGAATTAATATTTTAGATCATAACTAGATTTCTTTTATTTATACTGTTATGTCATCCGTGTATTTTATTTTTTATAACAATAAATTTAATTTTTTATTGAGGTGAAATGGTGTCTCATGGGTTATTATGTCAGATCTTACAATACGTAATTGATACAGAAAATGTGTTATAGTAACCAGTGTAGTATATCTTGTTAGATAAACTTTGATAGATGTTATGTATAGCAAATATACCAAAAGTGCAACTTTTAATTTAAATTATACGACACGTATATTATATACCATTCATATATAACTTAATATACGTTATATCATATGTAACTAATAGCTAAAGTTTATAATAAATTCGATTTATTTATTTATTTATTTATTTTAATCAAACGTGAACTTTTTATAATATTACTGGTATTCACAAATTTTTTCAGATAATATAGTGTCGCTGTTTTTTTTTGTTTTTTTTTTAAAAAAAAAAAACCAGTAACTAAATTATAAAAAGAATAATCGGGTAGTGACAAAAATGTTATAAGGAATAATATTGTGATGTTGTAGCGAAAGACTTAGTGGTACAGACCTAGTCCAAAGGTTTGGAAAAGGACCAGAGTTAATTGTACTAGGAATTTAAGCCTATCAAAGAGATAAATGAAAACTACACATGAACTACGATATTTGTGATAGATGGTAGTTTATCTACTTATAATATATAATAAACGGTATATATATAGTGTTGCGGGCTAATAGGGCGGATCCTAGGATGGAGCAACTGCGACGGATTGTCGCTCCAGATTCGTCGACGTCGCGTAACGTTACTCGAAAACAAGACGAGGCGGATACGATTTGGCAATGGCTAAGGCGGCTCTCGAGTAAGTTACTGGGTACGTATAGGGACTTTTC